TAGAAAGCCATGTATATTTTGTTGTATACTACAGTTGCTTGGCTTAAGCTATAACCCATGTTTTATACAAACTTAAAACAACTTTTTGTAAAAAAATAAAACTGTGTAATTAAAGAACCTAACAATCAAGCTAATCTACAGAAATCTTGTTCAAAATAATCCAAAAACATCTCAGAAACTGTAAGAAAATGATAGGTGGAATTCGACTTGCATATTTTGATTGGACGAGCAGTTACGGGCCGATTCGTTTCATTTTCCTAAAACCTAAAAATCGAATAGCATTTTAAAATGATCAAAATTATTAAAGAACAGCGTAGGCCTTTTATTTAATAAAATCGATTTATTCTCTTGCGGGCCAACTAACCCTTAGAAAAGTAGATTTAATCTGACATTACTGCAAGATGTTTTCAAAGAAAATTCAAAAGGGGGATCCTCGCATTACTTTGTCTTATTGCAAAGAATATAAGTAATCACTAAAAAAAAGTTAAATGCATTGGAAATCCCATGCATTTAATTCATTTTTGTTGTGATGTCTTTGGAACTTTGAACTATATATTTTGTTTTGTTTTGATATGACTCCACAAATGACATGGCCTTGCACATAAACTGATACGCAATTTGACCAGAGCAGGAGAAAATCAAATCATTTTGCCTACGAACAAAAAAAGGTATAAAGAGCAGAGATCAGCATAGATGGGTTGATCAATATGCTTATAATCCTATTCCAGGATTATTTCCTTTAGAGGATCTGCCATGATTAATTATTTTATAGTGATCAGCCCATCTATGGTAAATATTAAAAGCCAATGATATTTTTTTTATTGGCATATTCCATTTCGTTCGTTTGCCAGCCATAGGATGTGTTATTTCGACCGGTTTTCCAGCTCGACTAAAATGTATAATACTAACGAAAAAATACTATTAAATTTGTTTACAAAAGAAATGTGACAAAAGTAAGCTATCGCCAATCAATCAGTTCCAAAAGGGACCGCATACAAAAACAAGAAAATCTTTCACAACTGTTAACGTCACTAATCACGTTATTAAATTTTTGGATAACCAATTGATTCGATTGGCCTTCAAAGCTTTAAATGCATAAAAAGCATATTTATCTTTATTTTTCCAACAAATATGAAGCTATTAGTTCTGATTGCAACGATCTTGGGGCTCGTCCTCCTCGACGCTCTTCCCCTACCAAGAGTTCCTCCTTCAAGGGGAAAATAGAATACCTCGTTGACATTCCTCTACCTTGAAAGGAATAAATAAAGTGTGAGTTTCGTAAGTCTGTGTTTTATTTCAAAATTCGATGTTTGTATTGATTTATATTCTTTATTTTGTATTTTATATATAAAATAAATAGCTGGTGAGTTGTGTTTTAAAATGCGTCCAATCGATTTGCCATTCCCTAGCCATTGCCAATTCATTTGTTGCCTTAGGAGAATGTATACAGCTGCGTTTTAAGTTTAAAGCCACTATGAAAGAAAGCTCTGGAGATGAAGTATACACTCCTGATCTTTGCAGTTTTTAATTTTGTCGTCATTATGCCACCTTTAAATTTGAGAAGGCCAAGAACAACTCGCACCTATTACGAAATTTACGTTTTAAATAAAAATTGATTCAAATAAAACATCTTTCACATACGAAAGAAGATTTGTTAAAATATGTTTTTGATATTCGAATTACAGTGACAGATAGTTACTCGTAACAATATATATTTAGAAAGTTAATAAGAATTTGGTTATAATACTTCATTTAGCAGTCTAGCCAATTCCACTCACATGTGGGTACTAACTTTCGAGCTTATTTCCTCAGTTCTCCACTCGAGTCATTTTTTTACGCTTTTGAGATAGTTTTTGCCAGCGCAGGCGCTTTGGCCCCCAGTTTTTTGGGTAGTAAGTCACTCAAAATTTAGTTGGCTTTTTAATCCTGCAATTTGTAACCCTCCGATTGGGGATGAATGCAATTGTCGAAAGGGGTGCGATGGGGCGGCCGAGAAGGATGGGGATAGGTGGGACAATTGGAGCTAATTGGCAATAATCAGGCATCGACCATAAATTGGCGTTAACAAGGCCAACAAATCAGCGGAACGCTGGCCGTTTGGCAGTTGCGATTGTGATTGAGCTGGCGGCATAAATCAGCCAAATTGAATTACAAAAAACACTGGAGCAATAAAATCTAGCAATTATATTTATGCATACCCGCTCGCCAGCGTGCGTTTTTCTGGCCTCGCGACAATTTAATTACAATTGGCCATGGAGAGAAATTGCAGCTGCCGCCGCACTGGCGCCGCAAAATATGCTAATTTATATTTATATGGATATGGAGCTATTCCCCAGCCGACTTTTCCGCACTTCCCGCCCCCTTAGCCACTGCCCCGCCCCCTAAATTTCGATCCAACTTTAGACTCCGAGGCTGGGTGAAATATTTTCGGCGGCGACTGCGGTCGTAAAATTTATTGTTGCCAAATGCATATTTGTCACATTTCGCAATGTGTTTGGCGGCCATAGAACAATTTACAAGCAACTGGGGACTTTGGCTAAAAGCCTTGCCCCCGTCTACTCTGAATTTTCGCATTCGGAAAAATAGACTGAGCTCAACTGGATGGGCCGCACTAAAAGCGCCTTCGACTCAGCTGAAATACAAATATATTAGACATTTAATTGTTGCTTTTTGGGCCGGGCCTTTTGAGGCTGGGGAAAAAAGAGGAGCAGGTTTTTAAATGTCAGGAAGAAAGATAGGTTATGGATGGCCTCACAGAAATCTTTGTTAGAAATCACTTATAAAGGTGCTTAAAAGTATACAACAATAGGAGGATAGCCGCCTTTCCAAACATCCGAATTCAAAATATTTTACGGCATACTTTTGGGCACCTTACAGATGGCTCTCTCTTTTAAAACACCTTTTGCAGTTAAATCCTTACTATCTCTATTATAAGGAGCTTGTTGAATATTTACTTTTTTTATTTTAGGAACATCCCCGTGGGTCCAGATATTTTCATTGCCCATTCCGGAGGCTCGCTCACTGAACTTGGCATCAACATGATAATTGGCTAGCACTTCCAAGGAAAATATCCACTGTCATTTGCCCTTTAGCTGTCACAACACTCGCACACTCACCCACAACACACTTCACACCTCAGAGACTCGCTGAATGGGAATCCCCTGAATGCTCGCTAAACAAAAGAAATGAAGTCATTTGTAATTAATGAGGTTTGTCACCCCAATTTGCCGTAACTTCCAGCCACACAAAAAAGGAAACATCAGGACAGGAAATGGGGTGGTGGGCTGAAGTTCACCTGCCTGCGCGGCATATTGAAAATCACAGCAAAAAAGAATAGCATCCACAAAACAATCTAATTATATCGTTAAGCACACCAAAGTTGGCAGCAGAGCCACCCCTGAGTAAAAAGGAGACCTCAACTTCACCCCCGAGGTGATTTGTTGGAGGGGGAGGGTGGTCACCACACTGTCACCTTGACAGACAAACAGACGGCCAGGAAGACAAACGCATGCTTGACCCTGACAGACAGGCTGACTTTGGGGCGACAGTTTCCGTTAGCTTGTTTAATTAAAATTATGTAAATAAATTTATTTAGCTGACACTGCGCCGTAATTAAGTGCAAGGGGAAGGGTGGCATCTGTCCATCTATTGCCTGACAAATTTGGTCCACCTTGGCGGGCAAGTTATGCGCTTACTTCATCTATTTACACGGCGCAAAATTAAACATTCACCAGGTTCTTGGGAAAAGAAGTGATATTTTTAAAGTTATTTTAAAATTGAATTTAATCACAATCAGAAAGTTTTGAACATTAAATTAAATAAAGCCACAGATCTCGAAAAAATTTGAATTATTTTTTAGCGCTTAGAGGCCTTATTATTATTTTAATACAATAAATATATATGTTTTTTTTAATATCAAATATAACTTTATCACAATCACAAGGTCAATCAAAAACGTTCAATATTTTTAATACAACGTTTTTAGATGATCTTGAAGAGCAAAATAAATATACAATTACTTTAAACAATAATTCTATAGAATTAGTCCTAAAAGTTTAATTATTTGTTTGCCCATAACTCATAAAGAATTATTTGTCCTAAAAGCTTCGTTATTTTTATGCTCAAAATAGTACTAAGATAGTTTCATCCACTTTATAATATTCTTTGACAATAACCATCCAAAGTGACTTAAGAATTTCCCTGTGTACCTCCTTTGTATTTTCCCGTGTCTATATATGCTAACAAATTAGCCTTGAAATGAGCAATTTGCAGGCCATGGCTGTGACATGGGGGGTGGATGGCTAGGAGAATGGGGAATGGGTGGATGGTGCTCTGCTGTCTTCGCCGTGAAGACAAGCTGAGCTGACAGCTGCTGTCAGTGGCCGCCCGTCAATGCCGCAGCGTCGGGGAGTACTAAATATTCCTTCCGGGTGGCGAGAGGCGTGAAAAAGCAATTAAGTGTGAAGTCCTCAAGGCCCCGCAACAACACTAGCCCGGAAAAAATATCAAAAAAACAAGAGAAAGCGCTGTTAGATACCTTAAGGGGGTGGAGATATGCTTGCACTTCAAGACTTCATTGTACTATATGACAGTGCATTTTCAAAAAAATATGTACTTTTATATCTTAACTGGAGTGGATCCATGGTAGAACTGGAAGAGTTCGCCTCGAATAACATTAATTTATTTTCAAAACCATTCATTTAATTTTCTTAACCATAAATAGATCAATAGAGACCGCAAAAACTAAAGACCTATGTATTATTATTGACTTTAATATTAAATTGAAAATGCCAAAGCGCGTTTAGAAAAATTGGAAAATGAAGTACAATGTTACACTACACAAGGGCGTGGCCAATTATTTTGTAAGATTTATTGATATAATACACTTCGTGTTAGAGAATACCAGATGCGGCTCCGTGTTATAGAATATCAGAATACGGCTATAGAAGTTGCTATATAAGCGGAAACTGAAGCTCAGTTACTCAGTCTCTAGAGCAATACTGGCGAGTGTGAATGTGTTTTCTTTGATTGAAGAATACAAAACCTATTTTCAAATGGTAATTAACCGACTTTTTTGTCCAAAGCTCCTGTTATTCGTTGTATGGATGTGTCTGGCGTTGGACTGGAAGACCGCCTCCGCTGAACGGTGTGCGCCGGGATATACCTACCAATATGGTCACTGCCGCAAAAGAATCTGAGCAATCCGCATACTATTTGACAATTCTCATTGAAACCACTTTAACATCAAAATATAGTGCATAAGAAACATCGAAAGGTACTAATTATTAATAAATAGTAATAATAAATTAACAAATATTTGTTTAGCACAACAAACGTTTGGTTGCATTCTGTCCGGGCTTGTCAACCGGGCTCACGTATTTTTTAAGCTGTTGCATTACCTTGTGCAGTGAGAAAGGGATCAATAGAAACCGTAGAAACTGAAAACCAACACCCATAAGTATTGGCTTAACTATTGTATTAGATATGCCAAAGAGCGCTTTGAAATATTGTAAAATGAAGTAGAATTTAACACCATACACGAACGCGGGGCTATTTAAGTTGTAAGATTTATTGGTATAATACACTTCGTGTTATAGAATACCAGATGCGGCTACAGAATTCGCTTTATAAGCGAGAACTGAAGCTCAGTTACTCAGTCTCTAGAGCAATACTGGCGAGTTACTTGAGTTTGATTGAAGAACACAAAACCCATTTTACAATGCTAATCTACCGACTTTCCTGTCAGAAGCTCCTGTTATTATTTCTATGGATGGTTCTGGAATTGGATTGGTCGGACGACAAAACTAAAGAATGTGAGGAGGAGGGATTCAGTTATATCAAGACTCTTCGTCGTTGTGTAGATAATAAGTATGGCTATGGCTAGGTATCAAATGGCACGAGGCAACTCGTTCCTGCAGAAATCCAAAGGCTGGAGAAATTACAAATCTACACATGGATTAGCTAGTGCATGATAATAAAACAAATCGAAATATATAAATATCTTTTTCTTGTGGGATCATGAAAATAGTTTATAATCGATCTTATTGTGGGAGATAATTTCTATACCCTTGCAGAGGGTTTTATGATTTCAGTCAGAATTTTGCAACGCAGTGACCCGATATATATATTTTCGACCCAATATATATATTCTTGATCAGCATCACTAGACGAGTCGATCTAGCCATGTGTGTTTTTCTCTAGCTATGGCGGTCTTCCAATCCAATACCAGACACATCCAGACAACCAAAAACAGCTTTGGAGAGGAAAGTCGGTTAATTAGCATTGTAAAATGGGTTCTGTGTTCTTCTGTTGTTCTAGAGAGCCGCATCTGGTATTCTATAACACGAAGTGTTATGAATAGTTAAGCCAATACTTATGGGTGTTGGTTTTCAGTTTCTACGGTTTCTATTGATCCCTTTCTCACTGCACAAGTTAATGCAATAGATTAAAAACAAGAAAGGAAGTAAACTTCGGCAAGTTTGTATACCCTTGCAGTTAATTAATTAATTTAATTTGAAATTCTATATCTTGTTTGACATTATTTTCCCACCAATTTTTCGATCGTTTCCATGGCAGCTATATGGTATAGTCGTCCGCGTTTGATAAAATTAAATTCGAAATTCAGAACTAATTAAAAATTGTTATTTCCAAGCGTAGGAGGTTATATGTTAAAAAACACCAAAAACATAATTTAAAAAAAATTTTTTTCCGATTATTCCTATGCGAGCTATAAGATATAGTGGTCCGATCCGGCTGGTTCCGACTTATATACTACCTGCAAAAGAAAGAAGACTTTTGGGAAAGTTTCAGCCCGATAGCTTTAAAACTGAGAGACAAGTTTGCGTAGAAACGGACGGACAGACGGACATGGCTAGATCGACTCGGCTAGTGATCCTGATCAAGAATATATACTACTTTCTGACGAATATAACTACTTTTTAATTGTCTAGAACATTGAACATAAATGAAAAATGATCTTTGTCATGCAATTGAAACTTCTTTACATCATGCAACATAAAGTTTTAATAAATCCTAATTAAACCCCTTCGCAGAGAGACCTCTCAATTACTTTTTTGGGGCGAAACTCAAATAAATTCCATTTTGACAAGTCGCACACACTGTTGACCTCGGCAATTCGACATTCATGGGCCTTCATAATCCGGATGCAAGGTAATGAATGCCAAAAGTCAGAGGCCCATTTCACATATGTCATACCCCACTTCCCCACACTCCCCATCGAAAATACAGTCAACTCCACGCGTGCACCATTGACGTCACCACAGTGAAGCCATGTTGACATCAACGTGGGGGAAATTGTTTTGATGAATGTGTCGATTTAATTGATGAATGAGTTTTAAAGCTGGCAAAAAATCGAATGACATTACGTTTTCCTGGTATGAAAAATGGTGCTCGTACACTTTCCGAAAAGGGGAGTTTAATGATGGCAAAATTGCAAAGCATAAGTGAAGGTCTTACAATTCTTAATCATTCAGACAATATTGTTAAAGATGTATGAAAAATTATTGACTTTAAATAAAACAAGGAAGAACGCTATAGTCGAGTACCTCGACTATCAGATACCCGTTACTCAAAGGGAAATGGAGATATGCAAGCAGCAAAGCGAAATTAAAATGCGCCACCTACCGGCGGTAGACAGGTTTAAGCGTTATGGGCGTTAGAGTGGGCGTGGCAAATTTATTTTTGGATCAATCGATAGGTATTGACGACACCAATACATTTCAGTTCAAATTTTTCATCTAGCATCCAAATTGTGGGCGTCACAGGTTTTCGCGGTTTGTGGGCGTTTAAGTGGGCGTGGCAAACTTTTTTTTAGGTCAATCGATAGGTATTGATGAGAACAATACATTTCAGTTAAAATTTTCTATCTAGCATCAAAACTGTAGGAGTTTCAGTTTTGGGCGGTTTGTGGGCGTTAGAGTGGGCGTGGCAGTCTACTGAAACAAACTTGCGCTGCGTAAGAAGCTCAGGAATCTGTACGCCAAATCTCAATAGCCTAACTCTCATAGTTTCCGAGATCTCAGCGTTCATCCGGACAGACAGACGGACAGACGGACAGACGGTCAGACGGACAGACGGACATGGCTAGATCGACTCGGCTAGTGATCCTGATCAAGAATATATATACTTTATGGGGTCGGAAACGCTTCCTTCTGCCTGTTACATACTTTCCGACGAATCTAGTATACCCTTTTACTCTACGAGTAACGGGTATAACTACTGTTATAAATATATGAAAAATAATACCAAGTTTTGTTTTGACGGACTCTGGTAATTCTTCGTATGTAGATATATTATTGGATTTATTTCGAACCGAGGACCTTGAAGAATGATCGCCCGACAGGTGAGAGGACCTTTATTGAGTACTCGCACTGAGGCCATTAATAAGCGTTAAGGGCAAACAAGTCCAAAAAGTGTGCTTCACAAATTCGAAAGCCAGAGCGCAACAATTGTAAGCCGCAAATATCAATAAAAAACGAACACAGCACGGAGCAGTAATGTTGCGATTTGTTCGCTCTCCAAAAAACACAAGAACACAAAAGCGCCCGGAAAATGGGTTGGGAAATTCGAGCCGGGTTAGCGTCAGTCTCTGGCATGCAATAATATAAATTCCGGGCCACACACAGCCCTTTAATCGAGCCACGGCGACTGAATGTATGGAAAAAATAGAAGCAGAACACTGAAAATAAAATCCAACATCAAACTATAAATGGAGTCGGGCAGAGCCGTGCATGTGCTGTTATTGGAGTGAATTTCTGGGAAAGTCTTGTGGCTTAATCTACAACAGCATGCGGTTTGCTGGCAGCCAGGAACGCCGGCAATAAAAGCCTGCAAGCCGGAGTTGAAATGGGAGCCGCATGCAGCGGCGGTTAAATATTTAAAGCTTTCGGCTTTCGGAAGCCAACCGATTGGATGGGGGTTAGACAATCAGACGGGACGGAAATATATATTGGGTTTCATATTCAGCCAGGTGAAAATGTAAAGAAAGAGATCTGTGAATTATCCAAATTAAGATTTTAAGTTTTCCCTGCAGACAGGGGTCGTATTAAACATACATTACGTATTAATCCATAGAAATCTTACATTACTAATACAAGTAATTATCAATTTCTATGAATTTTGTTCAGTTTAGTTTTTATTTTTAAGGACAGAACAGAAAAGTCATTACCATGAAACCGTTCTCTCAGATTGTCAAAGTCGGGAAGTAGTTCTACTTTCGTTACGAAAAGCTGACTTCAGACCACTTTCGTTTTATTTCAAGAACGTTTCTTCTCGAATAAGTGACAAGACTTTTAAATTAAGAACATTCAATCTTGTGATTTTCCACTCTCAATTTTTCGGGGTGTATTATTTAACTGTGTCATTTACTTGACTAATGCCCAAACAAATCTCATGTGAACTTTAAATTAGGGAAATTAAAAATGTGTTTCCACCCTTAGGTAGACATCATTCAAGTATTTATTGGGCTTTTTATAAGCACCCCCGGAGATACAAAAATGCGATTTCGCAGCACTTAAGATTTTTATCGCTCCGCTTGACCGCAACATTCTCCTTGAATTCCCTTTAAATGCATCGTTAAATGTCTTGCGATAAGATTTCGCCCACTTTTCGAGCACTTTCCAAATGTCATATTTCCTGAAACTGTAACTAGGCTCAAGTTAATTATCGGGCTTAACATTTTGCTAGTTATATCGTCCCATCCCCGCTTTGAATGCGACACAAAGTATAAAACTTAATGTGCCGCGTGCGCATAAAACAAAATTTCAACTGCAATTAGTCGTGCAAGGCTCTGGAAACACACCCTCGATCCTCGACTTTCCTCTGATAAAACCATAAAAATTTTTCCGCCAACATGGCAAATAATTTGGCTAACGACATTTTGTAACTAATGCTGGCCAACCGCAACAACAACAGCGATAACCATTAACACGCCCCCTTTTCCGGACGCCCATCGAGGGGAAAATGCAGCGACGGAGCAGCCAGCTGGTCATTAAAAGTCCACCCATAACAGTTTATTGTAATGCGACCGCTCGTAGGCCAACTGGACAAGTGGCCGACCCGCCCGCCCATCTCGGGGCTCTAACGAATTCCTGCTACCCTGCGTTGCCACTTAATTAGAAAAGTTTTACCGCGCCACGAGACAAAAGCCATTGACAGCGACCAAAAGTTCGGGGAACGCCCTGGGTCCCGCTCATTTGCTCCATTTTCACATTTCCCCGCCCCGAACCATCGACGAACTGCATTCCACTGGCCAAAGGAGTCGTATGGAGGTCTGGTACTTAGAGAACTGGGTATACCCTACAACTTACTTATAGTTTCAACAATTTAGAGGCGAAAATAAATCCCTCCTCAATAATAAATCCTACCTCCACCACTAGGTCTTATAAATATATATGAATTGAAGACCCCATTGTCATTTATCCCTACGCAAAAACGACAAAGGATCTATTTAATCTTTTAAAAAGTTCCATTTTAGATATATTACCCACAAAATAAGCAAAGAAATGCATTTATAGCTCTTTTTTAATGTACATATATTTTGTATTCTCTAATATACAAAATTTCTTTTCAATAAATTGTATATTTTGAGTGTTTTACCATAAATCGTATATATCGTTTTAGTTCATCCAACGAAGGTTAATACCTTCTAGCAGGGAAGAAACATGCTAAATGTTCGGCTATTAGCAGCAACAAATGACATTTGAGAAAGACAGGACTTTATTTTTCTCCTTTTTGGGGGACAGCAGCCCAAAGACTTTGAGCTATGGAAATGGCAATGACTATGGACGCAGTCGAGGAGAATGGCGGCGGGAGTGGAGGTTAAGTCAACTGAAGCCACCTGGTACCGCGAACCGGATCCCGTTCTCCATTCGGCGGCACTCTATTTGCGCGTTTTTTCCAATTAATTGCTGCTACGTGGGCGTCCGCCTCGCGAATGTCAACAAAAGCCGCGGCCTTGTGCCCCACCACCAAAA